CTACCTGGGGCTATAGACATGGGCACCGTCTTGCTGGAAAAACTTTTTTTACAAAAACTTCATAAACCCCATAAAAATTTAGACCTATGAAAAGATTAAAATTCCCTACAAGAAATAAGAATACAGAAAAAATTATCAAGCAATTAAAACAAAATATCACTGGCGTCATAACCTGTAAATCAAGGTGTTTAAAAATAGTTATTTGTTTCATTAGTACAAAAAATGTCAGTTTTCGGGACGAGGAGTCCCGAAAACGCATTTTTTGTACGAATAAAACATAAAATTTTTTCTCCAACCCCCTTTACTTCAAATTATATTCGAATTTAGATTCAGTCACAGTTTCACTACTATAGTATAAGAACTTCTGCTTTCTTGTCCTCACGTGTCATGCCACTCTAGTTTTTAAGTTAACTTATAATTCGTTCTTACTTCTCACCTCTCGCGACTTTGTAGGGAGCAAATCTTGAGGTAGATGTTCTGCCGTTTCTATAATCTCTGGCGGAGTGCAATCCATGTCGCTATCAGTTTCAGTCATTTTATTGTATACACAATTAATATTGTTATATTTTGTATTGAAATAAAAAACTTACCATACAGTTTTTTAATTAAAATTAATTGCAATTAAATTTTTCAAATTTTGAATTCAAAATGACAGATAATAGTGCAATGAGTCTGAAGTAGATGGCGTTACGCGCGACGGCGGGTTGTATACGTATTAAAATTACGTTCACCGAATATGTAAATTACGTTACACATGGTTTAAATAAAAATAGCGAGCGTAAATCATTTTCAATACGTATAGGTAACAGCATTATTTGTATTGAATATGCAAAAATATTTGATTTCTACGTATAGAAATATCTCTTACAACCTGCAATGTAAAACGATGTCAATGTGACATATCTCCGTGATAGTAATTTTTTAATTGGCCAACTTTCAAGGTCAATTTCTTTTTGGTACTAGGACCAAAAGTATCCACTTTTTGTACAGTTGCCATGGTGAAAGCGATTAATCCGCAAAACGTCAATTTTACGTACCGAACACTGGCACAAAATAGCGTCTTATTCAGGTGGTTGGAGAAAAAATTGTTTTTTTCCGAGGTGTAACTAAGACTGTTCCATTTAATAATAATATATGGTTCGATAATGGTCAAATCATAATTAAAGTCGCTATACCCTTGGGCCCTTTTTGCAAAACAGACTGTCTGTCTGTCCGTGTGCAAGATTTCTTTTTAGGTGCAGCTGATCCTTACGAAACTTGGAACACAGGTTCATTATAAATTAAAAAAAAATGCTATAAAATAAAAAAAAAGGAATCATCCCGTCAATTACTTCAGATTGCACGAATATTATGGTTGCTTTGATTTCTTCAGGTGCTTCATAATTTTCCGATTCTTGAGATTGTTTAAATGTTTAGATTCTATGGACTCTTCTATTATGCTTCAGATACCTATTTGAATTTTTCCTAACTCTTCACGATTTTCGGCTTTCACGGTCCATCTACATTCGTCAGATGTTAGAATCTTCTAATTTTTCTCAAAACCTTTTAGTATCGATTTTCACACAAATTTAGATTTAGGTTCTACTTATACTGAAAACTCTACTTCAGAATCGACTGGATGTTGTTTGTGTAGGGGGTGAAAATTGCCCCAATTCGAAAATAATAAGGCACAACTTATGATTTATTCAACAGTTTCGCCCTTAGAAGCCAACCCAAGAGTACCTGCCTATAATTGAAAAAGTCTCCATAATGCTCTTAATTAGCAACTTTGAATCATTATTAAATTCAATGAACATTTGATTTATGTTATACCTATACTTATTCTGTACTTGAAATATGAACGTGTGCGGGAACTGGAAATTACTTTAACAAAAAACTGTTACGACATCGAGCAAGAAGTATTATCTTTGCATTGAGCTATGGTTGATTTCAAAGCTCATCTTTACACTAGCATTTCCTGAACGAGGGACAAGTCACCTGTCCCGGCGGTGGACTCTGCTAACAAACACACTTTTCGGTTGTAAATTTATGCGCAATATATAAACCAAAATGTTCAGAAAAACGAAATCTACAATTTTGCATATTATTAAAGTTTAATTAGTTTGAAGAAAAGGCAGATCTTTACACTTGTTCAATTTGCTCGGATTCTTTCAGCCTTCTATTTGCATTCGAAATTTTCTTTAATGTACTCATTTTCTGTTTTTATGTTCTATTTTATATTTGACTGGCCTGCATTTTTAAAATTTAAACTAGACTGCTTAGCGCTCTGTTACCACCAACATTCAAACATAAAAATTCCCTATATTCAAATTTACTAATCAGATGTTTATTTGGAATTTTAAAATCTAACCTTAAAATTTCTAATCTGATTTCTACAGTTAACGTGCCGGTTGGTTTTATAAGTGAATTAAAAGTGACGTCTTCCCTTAAATTACATTCAAGTCAAGCTGTCCGTACACCTTTTCAGGGGTTTATGAGGGACTATCAAAATTATAATTAGCAAATCTGGATGAGAACACAGAAATTATGATTGCTGCCAAAGATCCACAGGTAGATAGTGTTAAGTTAGTTTCATATGCCGTCATTTGACACATTTTTTGTAGGAGTTTGTTCCAAGTGGAAGGCAGCAACTGTCTTGGCATCCCGGAACAGTGCAACTGTGCGGTGGCGAAGAGAGCAATGCTGCTTTATCGCCCGAGATACTTCGGAGCGAATTCGAAAAGGTGTCTATCGCCGAAAACGAGCAAAATGAGTGGTGGACAATTAGAAAATCGCCCAATCAAAAATATGAGGAGTCGAAAAAGTCGAACGCATGCGGTAATAATAAAAGCATTTTGTGCGATCCGTGCACTAATGAGGGGGCGGATAGCTCGTGGACTTGGAAAAGTGCAGATCCGCAAATAATTAATAAGAGACTGTCCGATGTTCAAGGTTCGAAGAGACGGACCTTGGATAACGATATCAACGAGTTTGTAAAGTTGTCGCACCTACAGTGTCAGAGTTTGGGCGTAATGGAAGAAGAGTTGTATATTAAGGATAATGTGGCAATTTGGAGTAAGGGAATTGCATCCACCGGGAATTGTGGAAAGTTTGATAGCTCTCGAATTACGGTTTGTTCCTACTCAAGCCAATATCCAATTACACACGCACATTGGTGTACATTTTATTGTGAGCTGCCCACTTTTAATTCTAAAAACATAACGGTGCCAACTTCGGAGACAATAGGTACACCAATGCCTTGTGTGTGCATTGTAGATAAACAAAATTTAAGAGTATTTTCGATTGATAGTGAAGATTTCGTTACCACTCTCCCTTTTACGGTGGGCAACTTTTGGAATACTGCCTTTGGTATAATTTTGGAGCGCAAGAAAAGTATTCATTCAGTTTTGTTTGCCTTTTTTTAAGCTTGTTTTACAGAAACTAGGAAATGCGAAGATGAGGCTGGCCCTACTGTCTTTTCAATGACACATCCTCTGGACGAGGTCTCACCTGTGGCCATTTTGCATGGTACCATTCGTCTAATCGAAGATCATTCTTTAACCATTTTATTTACCTGCGAAAAACCAAGCATATGCATGATGTTTGATTCGCATACAATGCAGCACAGCATTTACGTCATCAGGAAACTTCATAATGACGAATGGACCGAGATATCTACAAAAATGGGTAGCCAGATGTCATCAATGCATAATCTCTCAAACAGAGTGAGTGTTTATTAGAGAAAACTTGGATCTAACCTTGTTTGCTTTAGCAAAAAAGCCATGCGGCTGCATGGGAGACCAGAGGAGACACTTCGTCTCCTTTTTCTAGCCGTCCAGCAAGTACTTTTCATTTTCATAGTAGTCATCAGTCAAGATCTCACAGCCCTATGGCAGCCATTAGGTTAGTAAATTTAGTCGAAACATTTATTCTCACTACACATTCACTGTAAATTAAGTATAATCTTTCAAGCATAATGCAAGGTTCAGCAGAAAGAGTGAAACCAGGGAAATTTGGTGATGGACTCTATCGAATGCTTTGGTAAAATCAGTATTACGTAAATTTGCTTATTTTTGTCCAATGCTTCGTCACGTCTTAAGTAAAAGTGGTTAAGTTGGTACAGTAATACCTCAATGTAGGGAGATATTTTTCCGTACAGAATTTTTTCATATATTTTGGAAATTGTTAGACCATATTATTATGTTATTTTTATCCCCGCTTTTATGACTGGGTCAAACTTTTGATAATTTCCATATCTCAGGATATTCACAATCTTGAGAATATGAAATACAAAATGCGCTGAATCTGAATCTAGTGATCCGTCTGAAGTTAGCAATAACGATACAGCAATAAAAATGCAAAAATATGTAGTGACTATATATGTATGAAATGTTGCAATGGATAATTCTTTCGGTGTCTTAAACTAGAATGATATGCGCCTCCAATTATGCCAATATAATGCCTTATCTGGTATTAGTGTAAATTTAACAGGCCCTACAAAATCGCGCATTAATTATCCGCACAGAGCAAAATTCACCATGCGAAAAACTTTTTTGTTTCATTGTATCACATATATCGAATGAATTGTGGCCAAAGGACACATAAATGTTTTTCAGAAGGAATTTTTAAGAAATAGTCTTTTGTTTCCTTTTTTCAGCAGTTTTGGTTACTTCTGGAACACGCGAAGGCGCAAAGGAAATAATTATTACTAATCGGCTTTCAAATAATGTTTGTAATATTTGGAGAACCATTAAACTCCACAAAATATTAATATACAGGGTTAGTCAAGACTATGGAATATATCTTATATCTTCGTTAATATTAGTTTTACATTATCGCTTCTGGAAAATTCGTGTTTACCGAAAGAATTACAATGATATCATTCCTAGAAACAGAAATATAATGGTGGAAATATGGAAAAACACGGATTTACTATCTTCAAAGAATTTTAACCTTAAAATTAACTATTTCCAGTGTTACACACCATAATTTAATTGTCTGTACCATTGACCAGCTCTCATTGAAATTTCGTGGCTCTATGTTAAACGGATTCGGAGTAAAAAAATAAATAGTGGCGCCGCGCACGGATTTTCCATAAGCCAATGTGTCCTGAACTGACTCCTAAGGTCACGTGACTATTCGAGCGCTCCGGGCTGTAAGTATCGTAGGCCTCGATATGCCAGACTCTGATCGAGGATTTCAATTGTAAATAGTAAAGGGTAGGCGTCTTTTGCTGACACGGTTGGTATCTTGGTTGGAATGATTGAAAATTTGTTCTAAAACTTGTCGTTGCATTTTTCTCGTCCAAAGTTGTTGTTATGATCATATACGTTGAATGCACACTAACCAAAAATAAAATAATACGAGTGTAGGTCACCACAAGCAAAAATCACAGTATGCTTATCTTTCCCGTATAAGAGCCAATCGGAGATCTGGCATCGGCGAAATCCTATATGACTTAAAATTAAAGTAGCCAAAATTTCTTATAATTGGAGGTCACATGGAAATTGCAACACCGAGAAGCTGATTGGAATTTTATTACCAAACTCAGTCAAAATGTTTAGTGGAATTTGTAGAGATCTAAGAAAAATCCAATTAAAAAAAGGAGACTTCAGAAAGATTTGCCCCTGAAAAATTTTGCTCCCGGAAGATTTGTCCTCGAAATATTCGTCACGAAAAATTCGCCCCCCGAAAGGTCCGCCTTTGGAAAATTCACCATCAAATTTTCTCCGAAATCACTCCCGAAAGAAAGCCCACAAGAAAATCCGCCCAGAGGTAAATTCGCCCCAGAAATATTCGCTCCGAAAAAGCATAGAGTAAATCTCTATGGAAAAAGTCGCCTCCGGGAGAAACCTCGCCCCGGAAACATTCGCTCGAAAAATTCGCCCCCGAGAAAACTCTCCCCAAGGTAGTAATAATAATAATACCAGGAATATTCTGGTTGCGAACCATCCTGAGACGAATGTACCTCTGGGAAACTTCTTGTGTGCGAATATTTCGTAGGTTAATTTCGCCGCGGCGGAAGTTTTCCGAAACGAATATCTTCCAAGGGAGAATTTACCTTGAGGTGAGCTTTTTTTTTTTCGGGCGCAATTTTGTCAAGAATTTACCTCGAGACTGCTTTCTGGCGGACGTATTTTCCGGAAAATGTTTGGGGCACGATTTATCGTTAGAACCATAAGGAAAGTGTATTTTTAATAGTGATAGCAGAAAAAATAAACGGGTTGTGTCATAACTAAAAATTATAACTGATGTGTGGGTACTTTTAAGCACATATAATGTTATAGACATCGAAGCATTGAAGTTAATATCAATTCATCGATATTTTGTTCAAAGGAAGGACCACTGAACTATAATTAAACTGGAACGCGCACTGGCGGTCTCTACCATAGAAACGTAGCGCGCCAAGAGAGATAATGCAAGGGAGATTTCTGTCACTGTCACTCATTGGGAAACTGATCATCAATATAAATTCAAAACATATCAAATAGGCTGCTCTATGCATGCGCGAGAGTAGGACACAGATGGCGCCCAACGTGGGACATTGCATTTATTTTATATGTGCCCAAACATTTAAGGTCACAGCAGTATTATTTCTAAAAATATATCATTTTTAGAATCGTCTTTCCATAAGAACCAAATGTTGTCCATTTTCTAACTAATAATACCCTAAATGGAACTGAAGCTCGTTTTAAACATTTCTAAGTCCTCCGGGAGAATTCACCCACACTGTGTGACTCGTCCTTTCACCTGCTCAATATCTCCCAGTTTGGTATTAAAAACTTTGCTAAATGACGAGAAATAAAAATTTGAAAGTTGACATAGATGTGTAACTTGATATACTCTTAAAGAATTGTCATAAAGAATTAGGGTTGCCATTTAAAAAAATAGTCGGGGTCGTCATATTTCAAATTTGGGACACCCTGTATAAAATATTATTACACCAAAAACAGCGCAGTTTAAAATACTAATCGACCTGTCCGAGCATATTTCTGAAAAAACACTTTCTTTGATTTACTGAATTAAGTTAGAGACTCATACAGTATAAATAAAAGTGAATGTTTATATGCCTGTATCTCTTATGCCTTCCTAAATCGGTCATCCAATTGCGATGAAATTTTGGGAAATGGTACACCATTCCCTCCGCCCATTTGTTTATCGAGTGAAATACCTACATTTTTTAGCAATCTTGATATGTAAACAAACACTTTGCAAATGGTTACCTAAAAAAATTAAGTCAAGACTTCCCCTAATTAAAATTAATGTAATTAATATTTCTGTCTGCTACTATCACATGGAGAGAGCGCATGCGCACTCTCTTACATCGGTGCGTACATAACGAGCAGCTGTCTACACTGCGTCCTTCTCTTTCCCACGGAACAGTATGATTGTCGCAATGTTAAGTAGCGCGCGAGAGAGAAACCTATTAAAGTCACTAAATATAGAAAGTACCGCAATCCATTGGGCTCGTGTGTTAGAGAGAGAACGCATGATTTTTGCCCAAAAATGGCGGAAGTTACCAGATTTTAGTAACTTTAATGTTAGGGATTGTTCCACCTGTTTGGAGATATCTGTATATATTTTTATAAAACATGACAGTACTATGAAGTTAGGTTATAAAAAAATGCTATTCAGATTTTATTTGTCAATTTTTTTAAGTTGGCAGCAAATTTGCCCAAAAATGGCGGATGATTGCGGTACTTTCTATTTCTATACTGCATTCATTATAAGAAGGTAGTAGATGGCGCTGTGTTTGAAGATAGACAAACACAGGAAAAATAAAGCTGCACAAAATTTGCAAAATATAAATATAAATCAAACGATATCACGCTTGGATCTTTGAAATTGACAGCTAATGACAGTTCGACAGTTTAGTTCGTAACTGAAACTTCTAACAGACAGAATTCGTCACTCGTTTTATTTTTCAGGGTAATATTGACTGGTGTTTTCACCAATCACAGTGAAGGTCAAACTATCCCTATGCTTTTTATCGCTACCTTCTTAAAATGAATAGACTGAGTATAGTGACTTTAAAACATATGTATTATAAGTCTGACCGGCAATCATTTGTTTCCATACCAGACATTATAATCGCTAAAGCCCGTTTGTAACGATCACTTATTTAGTCAAATTCTTAGTCCTTTTTTTACTTCAATAAAGATAATGCTATCCTAAAAATGTCATAAATGATGAAACTGTATGTAACATTTCATAATATTGTCAATTTTTTAGTACCAGTAAAATGTAACCATTTGTACATAACCTATGTTATATTAAATCTGGAGACTAAATATTTATCTTCTGTAAACTAAGGTCTCTATCTACTGTCAACGTATTATATTGAGCTTTAAAAATGAATATAAATTTTATTTTAATTTTACAAATTCCCTATAATCTGTCAAAAGTTACTAAAAAATTGAGGGAAAATAGGACAGGTTCTAAACATTACAAAAATAGGACAACTTTCAGTTCCTAAAATAACTACCAAAAAATTGATCACAGTTGATGTATGAAATTTACAATTTTTTTGTTCCTAAAAAAATTATTTAAAAATTGACTAAATAAGGGATCGTTACAAACGGGCTTAATAAGGTAACTATAGCGCGTTCGCACCTCCAGATGCGGTATGGTGCTTATGAACATACAGTAGATCCTTGCCAAACGTGACAATGACAGCACAAGGAGATTATGTTTTGTTTTAATACTTCAATTTAATCCTATGTCATGTTGACATAATCAGTGCGGTTAGAAACAAGGATGACGCAAACTAGTAAGAGAGGCAATTAGTCCTTAAGATCCCATACTGCATCTGGAGGTGCGAACGTGCTATAGGTGTTTTATAGATAGTTTAAAGGACGATGCCCATTTTAAATCCGAACGATCGAAGGGAGCGAGGTTTTAATAGGCCGATTCCTTTAATAATAAAATACTGAATTATCTCTAACACTGAAGTTTATATTATCTGAATTCGTCTTATATTAATATTTTACCATGAGGGAAATATGTTTCTCAAGGCTGATGTAGGTTGTAACCATGGTAATGGAA